GTGGTACCCAGACCGTCGTGAATTTTACTTGAGGAGTTAACATGCAGGCTACCGAGCTGCAAAATTAAACGTAGATATGGATAAGTTAACTTTTCGCCGCTAGATTTACACTGTCTATTTAATTCAGAAAGAAAAAGTGAGCTTTCTGTTTCTCATTTCACTACACATTAGTGTGGACGGGGCCAGAATTACCGAGTGCGTAATAGACCCTTTCAAGGTTAACGCCGACATTTTGTCGAGGGTGCAAAACTGCTGGGGCGAACGCAAAATGTACAGTGAATGTATGGGAAAAGTTGAGAAAATGATGCTCGATAATTTGAGGAAGGTTGAAATCGTGCAATTTCTATAAATTGCAAACTAAAGATACCAGACCTACCAGTTTACCGATCAAATTTGAGAAATGCTGTTTCGCGAAAAAGCCGCAAATTAAGATTTTGATTTTCCATATATTTGTCTCTAGAACCAAACCGCCGTTTCCGGGAAAATTTAAAAGCATTTGTATGAAAAACTAAAAATATCATTTCTCACTTCTCAGCGAGCCTGAACCCTACATATTTAATCGGTAACATCTTTTGCTAGGTATCTTTACATCGTAATTCATAGAAATTGCACAATGTCAACGTTCCTCAAATTATAGAGCATCAATCTCCCGACTTTTTCCATTCATTCACTGTACATTTTGCGCTCGTCGTAGCAGTTTTGTGCCCCCGGAAGAATGGTGGCGTCAATCTTGAAAGGGTCTATTATCAATGACTTACGGCAGCGCAGCAGAGAATGTTTTCGATGTACGCGTTTCGAACGAAGGGCCGTTGTAACGTATTCTGCTAGAATAAGTACGGTCTGTTTTCAATTCTCGTGAAACTTTAAACGTCATCATGATCTTAAGACAGGTTTTTCTCATCGCGGCTCTTGTGCGTGACTTCTGGTAGTAAAAAGCAGTAAAGTGTAAAAGTACAACACGCAACTTTAGGTCAACGGGGTCAAGTTACATGAACTTTGATTAGACCATCATATTTGTATGATTATAACTTGCGGCATGTATGACCAAATATTGATTTTTTGGTCTTATTATCC